CGGCCGGCCCGCCGGGGGCTCCCTCTCCTTTGGCACAACCCAGTTTGCAGCCCATCTGGGCAGCTGCGTGTGCGAATGAGATACACAGAGCCCCTGAGAAACACTTCCTACAAAACAAGACCCTGTTTATTAACGGCCCGGAGGGCAACGCGTCTCCCAGTCGAAGTCCAGGGTGCGCGAGGGCCCGCGCTGGCCGAACTCAGGCTCCGCACCTCCTGGCCCAGGGCTCCCCCAGGAGCACGGCCGCCGCCGAGACGAGCACCAGCAGCAGGCCCTTGACCACGCACCGCGAGAAAGGCTCCCCTGCAAGACGACGGATCAGGTGAGCGACACTTACTTCTTAACGTGTTTCTAATTATTTAGCTAGAAATAAGCCAAACCATTAATAATGACCACTTTGATGTGGCAGCATGATCGGTAAATTTTTTTCTTTTTAAATTTTTTTACACATAACGTCACAATCTGCGTTCCGGAAATCTGCTTTTCCCTACCTTGGTAGTGCCGGGTCCACGGGTACAGTAGCTGCGGCCAACACACGTCGTTTCTGCTGCAGTCATACTCTGTATAATTGACCTGGAATCTGTAAAACATTTTAGGAGATTACAACGGCTACAACAAAGCATACTTTAGGCAGGAACCATCGAAAGTTGGTTAAAGAAATAAACTTATTTTCAAAGATACACATTTTCCTGCTTCCTAAAAAAGCCCACTAGGTCAGTTACCTTGTCAGTGGCCGGGGTAACTGTGCAGGTATCTTAATGAACTGGACTGATGCGCTGAGAGGGAGAAGGTCGGCCTCATGCCCACAGGTGAGCCTGCACTGGAACCGCCAGTTCACCGAGGAGACCCTGGGAAGGAGAGATGCGCAGGCGACACATCCGGTTCATTTCCAGTCTGCTGAGAACATCAGGGGACTGACACAGCACCAGTATAAACCCGGAGTCTCTTAAGGAAGTTCCAAATGGCCCCCTGTGCATATGTAAACGCTGAAATGTACACGAGGGGAATCCCTTACACAGAGCTTCGTAAATACCTGTAAGGACACGTTTTCAGGACAACACAGCTGAGAGATTCTCCATTTACCCACAGACTGCTGATGGCTGCCATTTGCAAATAAATCGTCCCTGGAGCACCCTCCACTCTACTGACTTGCTCTAAACTACACTTGTGCGAGATGAGATCGGACCTTGCCTCTGCGCCCAGGATCTGCTGCTGAGTGATCCCCTCCACCGCGCCCACGTCCGAGGTGAGGATGCGGATGCCCAGCTGAGCAGGGACGTTCAGGCAGGTGCCATTCGCGCTGCCAGCGGACATGTCTGCGCCCGGATCGGAGGCGTCTCCGCCTGTACAAACGTGAGGTGGCGTATGTTTGGAAAGAATAGTAAGTTTTTCTACAATGCCAGGATACCATAAAGTGGGAACTATGATTAGACAGGAGTCATGTTAATGAGGCTTTAATCTCTAATAGGATCTGGTTATATCACTATATGACCATCACTATATGACCCCTTGTGTTCAAAATGGAGATTTTTAGAGAGTCAGGTTTAACAAAACCAAAAAAAAAGACAGCTTGTAAAACAACTGGGCAATCTGAGTTTCATGTGGATTTCCTATTTTAGAAACAAAAAGGGCATCATGAATAAGTGGCAAAAGATGTGACAAGTCTTCTGCATGGAGTGTTAACCTCCAAACGAACGTCAGTTGAGCCACAGCAAAGGAGACAGCTGTTGGGAGGCCTCTGCTGCTGCAGCCGGCTGACTGTGGGGTCCCAGCAGCTGAGCCCCACACTTCACACTTGCAGCTGTGACTTACGTATTATTTCCAGCCAGCCATCACTCAGATCACTGTAATTGGAGTTGCCTTTCATGGCAACATGAGTTGCTTGCATTAACAAATCGAGTGTTTCCATAGCCTTCTTCCTGTAAGAGAGCAAAATCTTTCTCCATGTGGGGCCGACCTGCAGGTCTCACCTCGAAGTTCTGATTTTCAGGGGGCCTCCAGGCTGGCCAGGGAGGGGATGGGTTTCCCTCTGCAGATGAAAATGCTCTGGAACCAAACAGAGGTGATGGCTGCACACCGTCATGGATGTACTAGACGCCACCAACCTGCTCACTTTTAAATGATTAATTATGTTATGCAAACTTCCCCTCAGTTAAGAAACAAGGAAGTGTACGCATATCTGTACACTTTCCAAACGACACCTGATTAAGTGGAAAGTTCTTTATACATCATAGAACAAGGTCTAAGGATTCTTTAATGTTAATCCCAATGACACCTGGCTAGACCCTTTTATAGTTCTAGGAGTATTGGGCTCCGGTGATCTGAACAAACTTCAGCAGAGAAGTTTGCGCAAGTGTGGACGAAACAGCTCTAGTCCCCATGGAAGCCCCTCCCTTACATTAACGTTGGCGGCGACTCTGAACTGCACCGCGGGTTTCCATGTACTTGTTATTTGCCATTGCTTTACATAAACGTTATTCAACCCCTACTTTTCCACACTCGTGCTGTTCTTAGCATTCACGTGTGAATTAACTGTAAGCTGACCACTCAAAACGCAGGTAAGTTCATTCATGGACCACTCGCCTGAGCCGAGTGCAGTTCTCATCAACACCGACTTCTAAGAGGCAGCCAGAGAGCGCGTTTTCTCCAAATGAAATGGGTTTGAAAGTGGCCGATGCACACAATCCCCTCCCAGCTGTAAGATAAAAGAGAGCCCATCCTCTTACTGTTTGTGCTAAATAAATGTAAAGACTTACTTCAAAGTTTTTCTTGGAAAACAATAAGCAGAAATAAAGTTTCCTGGAAAGCTGAGGTCACAGTTACTCTGACCCTTTCAGGGCTGAACCAAGGCCTCTCAGCCCAGCATACCTGGGGTGGTGGATCATTCCGAGTGAAACTCAATGCCCTCTGGCAGCCGTGGGTAATTACCAGGGGTGCAAAGATCCTCCATAGTTTGGAACAAAGCTATTCTGTCTCCAATCCCCACCGTGTTGGGCTACAGACAACAGCAACATGGGGCTCTCAAGATGATCCCACATTTAAATCTCTTACTAGTAACCAGTACCTCAGGTGCAAACAATGGTAACATTTTTTTTACAAAAACAACAAAAAAGCACGAAAAACAGCCACCCCTGCAGCTAAATAAACCAACTGAACTTTAAAAAAGTTGATTATGTGTTAAATTCAAACTATGGTGATATGTCCAAATCTAGCTTACCAAAGAGCTCATCCTGTTACCAGACCTGATTACCTGGCTGCCAAAGGTGTAAGGCCGCAACGTGACCCATCCTGCTGGTGTCTAAAGCTCGAACGGGCCTGCCGAGCTGGTAACCTAGACAACACAACAAACGAGAGGGAGCACCTTTCCTTCAGTCAGCCCGACAAAGCAGGCGTCCGCAGTGGGCTGTCCGCTGGGCAGGCCCGTGAGGAAGACTTGCTGAGTGACGGGTGTCGAGTTTGTCAGAGGAGCTCGCGAGGGAGACTCAGACCAAAGGAGCCTCTCAATGGAGCCATTCTCCAGTCATTTGGTTCACCCCCAAGGTCGGGTTTAGGGCCTCTCCCCATCCACAGCTATCAATCCAACCCATTGTTTCCAGCCTTTTATTATGAAAATGTTCCATGTGCAGAAAAACTGAAAGTAATGCCATGAAGACCAATACAGCTGCCCTCTAAACTCAACAACTGCTGGTATTCAGCCATATTTGTCTCGTCTGTATTATATAAGCACATGCCTCTCCCTCCCTCCCATATGTGTAAATAAGCTGCAGGCATCCAGACATCCTGACGTCCTGACACCTCTCCTCTGAAGGCGCCATCACACATCTCCGGGAGGCAAGGCCATTCCCCACATAACCGGGACACCAGTGCCCATCAAGTGGTGAGCTATTTGCACGTAAATACAAAACGCACCACAGATGGTGAGCGATGGTGAGCACTAACCCGTCCTCTGCAGCTCATTCTTTCTTAAAAAGCTCATTTCCACCACATTTTACCTCTTTTTCAAAAAACCAGGAGCAAAAGAGAAAGAATGTCTTGCTTTTATAGCAACTTGCTACTACCTATGACACTTCATGCAAAAAAAACAAAAAAACCCCCCAAAGCTCAAGTTGCTATAGAAAAAAAACAGTGTCACAAAAGAGAGAGAGAAAGGTCAGAGTCACAAACTAAAACTGAATAGTAACTTATAATCATCACTTTCGGGTGAGCGTTGAACTGAAATGTCTGTAGGATTGGTGATGACACACTATCTTACCTGGGTTTCCAGATGTTTCCTTCTCATTACCACTGTTATAGCTTAAAAATTTTACTGTAAATCTCTGTGTCATGACTCCTAGAAATAAAGTAAAAATGCGATGTGCACCGTTTCACTAGGAAAAGAAACGATCCCCCATGGTGTTACTTTCTCTACCCTACAATTGCACTTTGACGTGCCAAAAAATTCAGTCTTTTTTATTAAGTCACAAGTACAAACAAGGAACAAGTCTGACTTAACTTTACATGTTATAATTATGAGAATCTTGATGAAAAAACTTTTTTAATGAAAGCAGTCTCACTACCCTCAAGCACGTTACCTTTCTGGTGGGCGTTAATCTCTGCCCTGACAATTCTGACGTGGATTTCGCTGATTGTATTATTATTCCACCTGAAAATGTAATGTTCTTCCACATTCACGTTTCGGGGGGCCGATACAGTACTTAAAAGTGTGTCTGCAAATACAAAAAACCTTTCAAAAGTTAAAGACCCTCTTCAGGCTCAGGTCTGTTGTTGGTCCCACCAGGTCAACATCAGCCGCCTGCTCCGCCGTCCTAAAAAAACTCTTCAGCTCTCAGGAAAACACTTAAGGAAGGTTTGCAGACCCTGAGGACCCGGAGGGGCCCAGAGGCCCCATAATCCTCATTCTGTGGAGGAGGGAGCTGCTTCGGGTCACCTAGATGACTCTCAAGCATGGACGAACATCACCCAGGGACAGCTTCCCGACTGTTGTGAAACCCCTCAAACCCATCAGGAAAATGTATTTAACCAGGACCACACGTAACTTGTAAGAAATGATGCACGTGTTTTTTGTAGACACGATAAAAACATGCAACATTAACACACCGGTGCTGGTGATGAATTTGTCCAGGTCAGATGCTTCCTCATAGGTCACTTTCGGTGTGACGACGCCTGAAAGGACACAGGAATTAACCTTCAGCAGCACCGCATGGCCTGGCAGGGTCGTATTCACCTACGAGAATGACAGATCATCAAGCAAACACAGTCACCGCCTGCCTGCCTGTGTGCCAGCTACGACTCTCTCCCACCTCCAAACACCACCACATGGGAATCGCGCCATCGCGGGCACCTAATTATAACTGAGGAGGACAGCCCAAATGTCAGCGATGACCATCCAGAAAGTCACCGTCACAGAAGGACGAGTGTGCTGCCGGCGGTGTGGCTCAGTGGCTGAGCGCCCTCCCATGCATCAAGGGGTCACCGGCCGGATTCCCAGTCACGGCACATGCGCTTCCTCGGTCGGCAGTTCAAACACTATTTCCAGTTGCTCCCGAAGAAGTGACTTTTGTTGTCACGAGATCACAGTTTATCTAAACACTCAGGCCCGTGCTCTTTTTCCGGACCCGGTGACGTACCTCCCACAGCGCCGCTCTTTATCTTGGTGCTGAGGATGCCGCCCTGCTCTCGGTGGGCCTCCAGGTCGGTGACGCACCAGACGTCGAAATTCTGAAGGAACCCCACTGGGGCATCCTGCACACACTGCCCAGCCAGGGTCACCTGAGGCGAGGGGAAATCCCAACAGACTCAGACCATAAAATACAGGTCAGCGTCTCGGGGAAGGGCTCCTTCGGCAGCCGGTCCTGCTGGTGGGTGAGGCCCAGCAGCGGCCAATTCACTGACTCACTGACCGATTTCAGTTCATTTGCTAAAACAGCTTGTTAATTTGCTCATCGAGTCTGGGGCCGCTGGTGGAGGAGTCACGGTAAGTGCTGTTCCATGAAAACCAAGTCAATTCCCTGCCCTCCCCCGTCTCCTTTGCAGGCTCTAGCATATAAGAAAAGGCTCTAGCATATTAAAATTGAACTTACCTGAGGGACAGTAAAATATGACTTATCGACAGTCATAACTGGATCTCCTTGTTTGTAACCGAAGTCTGAGACGTCCTTCGGATCAGTGTACAAATGCAGGTCAAAGGAAGCATGCTCTCCCGAGGAGGAGCTGTGAGTCGGCAAGAAAGACGACAGCTAAAGCCTCTAGCTCTCATCTGCAGAAACAATCGCTCACTGACATTTCACCCTTTTTTAATTACCAAAATAATATTTGCACTAAATGCCGCTGACTGTACACATTAAAGTAGTTAATGGTTCATCAGTGTACGTTGCATGAATTTCACTTCGATGATGATAATAATGATGTTGCAAAATTTCAACATACACAAAGGGGAAAGACAGCAGACTAAAGTCCCCCATGAGCCCACTGCCTTACCCCCAACACAGATCGTCACTGTGAAGTGTGCCCCATCAATCAATTTATTTTCATTGAGGCTCGATTTTATTTTTTTGGTGCTATGACTCAGATGAGGCCCAATTCTTTCTAACACAGAATCTACTTACTAACTGAAATCTAGAATGGAATGGAGAATTGGGTCATTTAAGCATGGCACCTCTGGAGGGGTCCCAAGAAAAACATGACCCACAGTCCAGGGCTGACTTGGCGCTGGCACCCCAGCCCTAGAGCCAGCGCCATCCCCCAGGCNTTTGTTGCTGGCGCTGGCGCCCCAGCCCTAGAGCCAGCGCCATCCCCCAGGCAGCTGCGGGACACTCACACAGCCCCGTGGTAGAAGTAGCCNGTCCCAAGAAAAACATGACCCACAGTCCAGGGCTGACTTGGCGCTGGCACCCCAGCCCTAGAGCCAGCGCCATCCCCCAGGCAGCTGCGGGACACTCACACAGCCCCGTGGTAGAAGTAGCCAAGGAAAGGCGAGTTGGAGAGGGGGGACTGCACACACAGGAACGGAAACCAGCCCGGGACCGAGTGTGCCCTCTGAACGGAGCACAGCTGGTCAAAAGGCGGATTAACGTCCCCTCCAAAAACACCCGTGAAACAGGACTCTCTGAAGAGCTCTGTTAGATTCGATGAGCATTCCTGGAAAGAACACAGAAAGGAGCAGTGAGAGGACAGAAGGTTCTGCTGTGACCGCCGCCAGATCCGCTGGCAGGCAGGACAGACACGAGTTCTGAGAGGCCAGCAGGTATGACAAGCCCTGGCAGGATGGCTCAGTTGGTTGGAGTGCCATTCCGTGCACCAAAAGGCTGCAGCTTCGACTCCCGGTCAGGGCACATACCCAGGTTGTGGGTTCAATCCCCAGTTGGGACATGTACGGGAGGCAGCCGATCAATGTTTCTCTCTCTCACATCTCTCTCCCCCCTTCTCCTTCCACGCTCTCTGAAAAGCAATGGAAAAACAACCCTCCAGTGGGGATTAAAAAAAGAAAGGAAAAGCTGCTGATGGGGAACTGCTGGCATCCATCACCTGCTATCAGGTACCGTAACTCTTGTGCCCAGCAATCAGAGTGCGTACCTGGTCACAGCAGCAGCGGACATCACAGGCCCCAGCTGTTAAGTTACAAGGACACGGACCAAGAGGCTGATACACCTGGTTAGGGATAACAGTCACGTTCTCTGAAAAGCACAAGCAACAGAGAAGTGCAGCTGTGAGACCCCTTGACACAGCTTTGCTGCGTGTTGGACATGGAAAAGAAAGCCGAATCGTTGTTTTACAGATCCCCATTCCCAAATATTCCACAGTGAGGGATCCCTGAGGTGAGCGATACATAAAACACACCCAAGGCCTGTCTGGACCACTCCAACGAAAAACCCAGGTATCATAAAATATGCAAAGTGGGCCCCCCAACATCGGCACATCCTTCATTTTAGGACATTGCCAGTATGGGCAAGGCAGAACACGAAACCATTTTCTCACACGCAAAGATGTATGTGCAGTGAGGTTTGCTGCCCGCACTTGTTACAGTATCAAAAGCTGGAAACGACTTGCAGCCCATGACAAAGAGATTAGCTGAATGGCCAGTGGTATATCCACACAATGGAATACTACGCAGCTATTAAAAAGAAGGCAGCGAAACTAGGTGTATTCATATGGAACGATCTCTATATTTAAGTTTTAATTATTAAGTTATTAAGTTATGTTATTTTTTAAAAGGTATAGAATAGTGCCCGAGCCGGTGTGGCTCGGTTGGTTGGAGCATCATCCTGGATACCTGTCAGGGCATATACCCAGGTTGTGGGTTCAATCCCCGGTCGGGGCACATAGAGGAGGCGACCAATTGATGTTTCTCTCTCACATCGATATTTTTCTCTCTCTCTCTTCCTTCCTCTCTCTCTAAAAATAAATAAAAATAAAACATATCCTTAGGTGATTAAAAAAACAAACAAAAAAAGACTTCACTTGCCTGATGCATTATGGGCCAGAGAAGAGTTGGCATACATTTCCACTTGGATGAGCAGATGTGCTAAACAGGATGAGTTGTGAGATGCTGAAACCAGAAGGGTTTGGATGAGACATGGGGACTCTGAGAAGGAACCACTCTTATTAGGGGAACATGACTGCAGAACCGTCTTCAGCCTCACTGTCACTTCCAGCGCATTCTGAAAGGAAAATATTGCCGCACTTTTTAGCATCTACAATTCTAAGAGCACGTAGCGGAAAACAATAAAGTCACACATCAGCCTCAGCTCATTTTACAAAAGAAGAACTGTACACAGAGATGACATGATTCTGTTTCATTCCACCCACCAACCTTTGGCCATATGCAAGCCCCGACTCCTAATCCCCAGTTTAACATAAAAGCAAGCAGCGTTTGCATGCTCAGAGAAAGCTAAACACGGATCTGAAAATGAACTCAGCCTGTCTGGCCGCTTTTTAGTTTATCATCCTACCAGCGCAAGATCAAAACAAAACAAAAAAGCTACTAAAAACAGTCCCCAGCTCCTGGGGTGCGAACAAAATCTGTCTTTCTCATCCTCTGTAAACCCTGGAGTTGATGCCTGGCAAGTACTAGGCAATCAAGAAAACGTTTATTAAATGGAAGGTATTTAATCACTCCGGGCCTGAGTGTCCTTACACACAAGCTCAGTGTTGGAGGAGGTCAGCCGTTTAGGAAGCTTTTCTTTGAGTCACAGAATCATTTGTAAAATCTGATGAGAGCTGGCAACCCTCTCCTAAGGAAAATGCACATAGGCACGTGATTTTCACACACAATTTCAGAGGGTCCTTGCAACTCCTCCAAGGACCCCTAACCCTGGTGTAAGGACCTCTGGGCTGGATGGGTGTCCACCAGACCTGACAGCCTACGGTCGGATGGCATTTCCAGCACAGAGATGGCTGCACCTTGTCCAATTAAGTAGGAAACGGGGGTCCCCACAGGTGCTACCGGGAAGGTTCCACCTCTGGCCTTACCACGCTGGGGGTCACAGTCAAACTCCAGTCTCCTGTGTCCTTGCTGGGCGCGCCACAAGCAGGAACCGGCAAGGATCCTAAAGGAAACGAGAATGCAGGGTGGCGACACCCAGCGGCTAAGGGGGTGCACCCCCTGGGAGGGGATCCCCTTCCAAGGGAGGGGTGGGCCCTTTACGAGCTGTGTGACCTTGGGCGAGTGAGACCCCTCTGGACCTCAGTGTCCCCATCTGTCTAATGGGAGTAAAAGGCATGACTGTTCCCATTAGGACACTGAGGCCAATGCCAGCCATTAGGACCGCAAGCTTTCTCTGATCGACCCTGTCCGTCGGTCTGTCGGTGGGTCGGTCGTCTCGGGCCCACAGCAGCCCCTTCCCGCCTCCCCACCCCGGCTCCGCAGTGGACAGCGGCAGGGGACCCCGGGGCGCCGCCCGGGATGCAGTTTCCTCGGCCGGCCGGGCCTGCCCCACCCCCGCGCCCCACTGGAAGGGCCGGACTCACCCGCCCGACCCTCCAGCGGGGACAGGGACACGGCCACGTCCTCGGCGCCTCCGACCAGGGACGCGC